TCTCTCTCTCTCTCTCTCTCTCTCTCTCTCTCTCTCTCTCTCTCTCTACACAATTTTCGTTGTCGATCAAGCGAAGAAAACCCTTCAATCATAGAAATGAATTAGATTTCGAAATGGACATTCGACGAATTAGAAAAATATTGCTTTTTTGAATTTTAAAGGAAATTATGAACGAGTGAATTGAAGGGGAATCGAAGAAATGCATCTTTAAATTGATTATTTTAAATTAATGGAAATGGATTGTAACGTAAGATTTAATTGAATATTGATAGATGCATAATTACATTTGTAATAGAATTTACTTTCAATGTAGACCTCTGAAGTGGTCGAATAGTCCTAAGATGATTTTTATGGCAAGATATGTGTACATTTTATACACATATATGAAGAAAATTTGCAAAAATTATGACTATGAGGCTAAATGTGTTCGAGAACTTTATTAAAACAGAAATATTCGTGAATTGCATGTCGGAAGGAGTCTATTTCCTATAGTAACGCCCTTTAAGGAAACCAAACATTACCGCCGTTGATTGGCTAAACACGCTATACAATGCAACATATGTCACCCTCATAATAAATAACAATCGCGGTTCGGTGAGCTATGAGTTGAATGTGTCATATCATTTGTAAAAAAAAATCTTCATACATAGGAACAACTAACACGCGCTTTTGTAAGCGAGCTTGGACCAAGGCATACACAAAAGTGTGAGTTATCTATGAAAAAATAATAATAATAATATTTTATCGAATAAATGAGATCAATGATAAGCGATAACGAGTGTGTTATTCATTGTGCCACCTGTACGCCAGAATCGTTATATACATGTATATTGGCCTGAACGGTGTGTAATTTCCGTTCGTAAGTGTTTGCATGTTTGTATTGCTCTTTTGTGTATATTCAAACAAGACATAGATAAGAAGTAAACACTTTAAAAATAGAAAAAAAAACACACACAAAATCCCCCAACATTGAATCGAAGTAATTTACATGATGCATTCTATATTTTGGTTCGTTATTATGGATAATTTGGGTTACAATTTGTCATTGACTGCGATGAATGCGATGACTGCGAGGCGAGTGAGTTATGCTTTCGACAATCAAGAGATAATGGAACATTGGTTAGGTTTTATATTAAAGCAATACGTCTGCACGATGGTAAATTATAAGTGAAAATAAAGGTGTACATAAAGAATCATCTGATACGATGGCATATTATCATTTGAGTATTATTATTTTTTTTGTGTATTTCAAATGTGACACGTAAGCTCAATGTTATTACATTGGTATTATTTCTTTAGTTAAATTAGTCCCATAAATGTCGCATAACAAATAACGTTTTTGCAGATTTTTGCCTGTCGCCATTCATTCACGTTCCATTTTTTTTTGTTTCGTCATTCGTCATGTGTGAATTCATTTTAATGGAAAAATCATTCGATACGACGCTACAACATTGACGACTGATTTTCAAAAATATAATTAAATACGATGCTTTCATCGTTCACGTGTTTACTGCCTTTTGGTTATATTGAAATGGGTGTAAATAATATTTTTAGAGGGATAATTATATCCCCAATATAAATTATTATAATCGTTGTGCTCAATTTTCTGTCTACTGTCATATAATTGTTCAATGTTTTTCATTTCTTTTAATAGAGCCATGCTTTGTTCGTGTCGCTTTTAGTGACTTTGTGTTATTTTTTTTTTCAATTGGTGTTGGAAGTTTGGAAATCACCCACAACCTTGCATGCCTATCTCCTGTGCTAAATTCAATGCATGCAACTGTTTGCTCGGCGCTGTAACCATCTCTTCAATTATTAAAATAAAGTTATGTTCATTTGCTATTTTTTTTCTCCGTCTAATTCAACTTTCCCTTATTATATGTTGTACTTTTTTTATTTCAATGAAGAAAATATAAATATATATTCAGACGAAGGTGAATATGGAGCTAATAAAAATATTTTGATTCTGATTGACTATATTGACGTCTTCTTTTTCTTTTTTTTTTTTGTTTGCTTTGATTTGTTTCCTTCTGATCTACATGTGAAGATATTAAAATAATAATTAATATAACTGATTTGCTTTTGAAACGACTGGGGGCCACACATGAATGGGGTTGCTCTGTTTTCAACTTGACTGAGATTATCTTATTACTTACTTTCCAATGCTTATCTCATCGATTTTATACTTTTGTTTTGTGAATAAAATAAATAATTTACGATTTATTCATGAACAAAAGCACGTATTGAATCGTGCACAGATTGACGAATTTGATTTGATATCACTTTTTTGTTTTGCAAATTAATAAAAAAAAATTTTTGAAATGCAAAGACAAAAGAATAGAAATAATTTGTTTGTACTTACCGAAAGTTTGAAAACCATTTGACCAACTGGGCTGTGTTGTTTTTGTTAAATTTGATGTCTGGGAAGTACATCTTTAGTACGGCCGAACTGGGATATCGCACCCAGAAGAACATCAGTTTCGCTTTGCGTAGATGCATCGGAGTCAATGTTGACGAGTTCACGGAAGTCAAGGAAAGCATTTGTTGTTTTCTAATAAATTGTTTGATTTTTTTGGGTTTGTCATTTTTATCTCTTTTTCTAATGTGTTTTTTTTTTGTTTTATTTGGTTTTTTGTTTTTTTATTTTCACGCACACGCACAATTGAAATTTGTTCACGAAATATTTTGATTGCAAGAGTGAGAGCGAAACACACAGACACAAAAAAACAGTCAGCGCAGTACATGGTCAGTAGAAAAAATAAAATTTTCATTTTAACAAATTTGAATTGTGCGAATTATTTAAATTAGAGTGAATAAATTGGATTAAATTGAAAAAAGAGAAGGAATGAAGTGAAATGGGAAGGTTTTGTTTTGTGTTTATAAAGTGTTTATATCTTAAAGAAACAAATTCGATTGGCTTAAGCCAATTGAACGAATGGGTGAATATTATGAGTTCATGAATTGATGAGGCTAAATTTCACAACGTCATTATTTAATTGAAGTGAGTCTGATTTCTCGGTAGGAAATGCACGTTTAATTGCATTCTTATTTTCAACTTTACTGGATTGACGTTTATATGACTTCAATTCTAGTTGTTTGTTGTTTTTTACACTATTTTCTGTGATTTTATCCATCTGGATATATTTGTAATTGGTCTGTTGTTATTTTATTTTATTTTTTCAAATCCGTTTGCATTATCTACATTTTGTACAAGAAAAAAAAACGTTTCGCACATCTCTCTGTACATGTACACTTCTGTTTGTATTTTCGATCGACACTTGAGTGTTAGTAATACATCGGCTTAATTAGTTCATAGGAAGTTGTGGTTGTAATGCATATTGCACAAGTACAACTTAAAATATTGCACAAAGGAATCTATACAAGTGATTCAAAAAAGAATGGAAATGGAATACGGTATATACATTGGTTGGTAACTGGTAACTGGTATTAAACGAGTTATTTTTTTTTTTTTTTTTGATTCGATATATATTCAGACTGATATCGATTTAAATTTGATTTTGAATTCAATATAATCGGACAAATGTGTATTTGCACTCTGTTGCAATATTATCAATTTATAAATTGGTTGGGCCGACTTTTTCCATCATTAATAATTAAATTTCAAGTGAATATTTTTTCTCAGCCGGCTATGTTTGTTTGTTTTTACAATTGACTTTGCATATGATTATACTGTATTGCACTTGTTTTGGCAAGAAATTCACAGCGATGTGAACTGAGTTCTCTTTAATCACTTTTTAATTCATATTATTCGGACGAAATATCGGTAAGGTATGGTATTTTAAATAATCGAATATACAGAATAGCAAAAGTGCACATTGATAATAATTATTTTATCAGAATCTATCTGTATGTTGGATCGATACATAGAACCAAAGTGTACATATATTGTGAGGTTTAATAGACAATAATTAAGATTGAGCATTTCGAAATGTGGGCAATAGCTGAGAACGCGAAAACAAATATAATTAATAATAAAACGTGATGTGTTGTTTAGCATTGGTCGCGTTTCATATTTGTATTAATTTGGAGCAAATGGAAAGTGCAATTTTAAATGAAATGAAATTGCGTGTCCAATTTTTGAAAATCAAAGATTCGTTTTTTATGTTTCTTTATGCTTTGATATAATTATGTAAAACATAATATCGTGTGTTTCTTTTATATGTATGTGTGTATGAGTGTGTGTGTATATATGTGTGTGTGTGTGTTTTAGGGACAAAATAAAGAGATAAGACAAGATAAATAAAAGATGTTGAAATCATGACAATCATTACTTGGAATCAAAGCATTGTACTTCCAAATGTTCAATATCAAAATATTTGATTATTCTTCGATTTCATGCGGTTGATATGTCTGTATATTCAACATCTTTTGAATTTTGTTCAGGTATTACCTGTCATTTGAAAAGGATATAGTAGGTTGGAGTCCATCATAATTATCTGCTGAATCCGAGTTACGATCATTACTGTCCATTGTTGCTCGAATATGAGCATAATCTGAAATAAATGTTGTAAACATATCTATTTTACATATAAATTCTTGATGAAAATGAACAACAGTATCAACAAATGATTTATAAATCAAGTTTATTCAATTGGCTAACCTTGTGGTGGTGGAACTAGTAAAGCTGGATGCAACATCGTTGGTGGATGAGGTAGTGGCGGTGAATCACGTGGATCCATAATACCAGCAAAACCAGGTGGACTTGCTGGCATTTTAATATGATGAAGTTGAGCCTGTTGCGGTGCATGTGGCCCATTGTGATGATTAAAGAATGGACTATACGGCGAGAATACTTGTGATTCATGTAGTGATGGATTTGGTATTGCAACCGACGTTGATAATGCCTATGAAAAATTCAAATTGATAATTGTTGCAATTTGCAAACTTAGTCTAGATGCTATTCGTACTTGTAACATTGATGATGCCGGTGGTCCACCATGATATGACGATCGCGGTGATGGGCTTTCTGATGGTGTCGTCGTCGATGTATTCATAACTAAATTGAAATAATTTTTTAGCTCTGTGTTTGCCACACAATATATGGTATTGCGAATTAATAGAGAAAAAACCAGAAGAAAAAACAAAAAAAAAAATGGAATTGAATTTTACCTGAAGCAACCGATCCTTTGCCGTTCGTACTGTTGTTGTTATTGTTGTTATTCATGTTTGTGTTCGTATCAATTTGTTGTTGATTTCCCGTGGGCCCAATTCCATCTTGAGCTAAAATTCGGCTAACTGTGCGTGGTGTGATTCGTGTATCAGTGACCTTGTGCCGTTTCTTTTTCGGTTGTACTACCAAACTAAGTGCTTCGTTTTGCTCTGGATTTGTATCACGTGATTCTGGCATGCAAAATTGATTCACTTGACCGCCCAACACATTCATTGAATTGTAGAGTGCGGCGGCTGCAACCGGATTTATAACTTGCGGTGGCTTTGGCGTTTGGAACATAGCCGCTGTTGGGGTTTGATGTACATGAGGAGGTAAATTTATTGCATTAAGATTATTGTTAGTGTTACTGTCACTCAATGTTGGTCCTGGCCCATTCATATTCATCGGCATGTTCATCGTATGCGTTGAAAACGACGCGTTGCCATTTAATCGTGGACCGTTTAATTGATTGTGCATTAAACTACTTGGATTTGAATTAGTCAAAATATGCGCGTTACCTGTTTGTACGTTGGATGATCGTTCAGCAACTTTCGTGCGTGGCGATTTACGATCAAGTAGTTGTGTTGCCATCATAAGATCCTTATTTAGCTGTTCGGCAGCTGCAGCGGCTGCTTCCGATTGTTTATTTAGAAACCGTCTTTGGTGCACGAACCTTGTTACAATCGAATCAACTAAATTCGACAGCGATGCAGTTATTTCACTTTTCAGCACATCAGCCAAACCTTCAAGATCGGTACCTGATACTGGTCCAACTGAATTTGTATTTGATCGTCCGATATTCAGACGCTCGCTTAATTCTGATGTGTGTGCCATTTTTGAATTGAGAGAAAATGAATTTTGCTGCTGCTGAGATTGCAGTGCACCCTGTGATTGTTGTCCATGTGAATTTGTGGATTGATCTTGTGTTCGTTGCGATTGTGAACATTCCTTTTGTTGTGGCGAATGTGTTTGACCTTGATTTGAATTTTGCATCGGACGTTCGCGTTCCTGTTGTTGCATTTGAGCCTGTTTTAATTGTAACGATGAATGGCCGGTCGTTTGATTTGAATTTTGTTGTTGACGCTCGCGTTCCAATTGCTGTGATACACTTTCACGTTGTTGAGATTGCTGCTTTTGTTCTGATGTTTCTTTGTTATTTCGTACCTCTTGTTCGAGGAAGAATTTTGGATTCATTCCAAAGTACATCGCAGCCGTATTTAATGCATTTTGTTGTTGTTGTTGATTGTGTTGCATTTGTTGTAATGCATGCTCATGCGAATTATGGGTCATGTTAATGTGCTGCAGAAGCGGATGTGTTCCATTAAAGTTTGGTGCTAATTGAGCTGGATTATGTAGTTTTGACGAAATCATTTTGCCCATGACTTGTGTTAACATCATATTCGAAGCATTTGACACTTTTGAATTCAGTGACAAATCTTTCATGGGTGATATGGTCGGCGATGATGAAACCGAACACCGTGTTTGTTGCTTTTCGGTCGTCTCCTTTTTATTTTCGACCGGTTCAAATGTATCACTATTGCCATCATCAATCTCCTGTGATTCGGGCGCATCCGAATGTTCATTTACTATCGTACATAATTGCACATACTTTTGTTGCATTTCAGCCAATTTTTCTTGAAGTGAACGCAGCTCTGATTCTAGTGCACTTTTTTCAACGCGTTTCTGTTGTACAGGCGGCTGTTCATCGTCATCATCGTCTTCACCATCACCAAACATCAGCCCCTGTAGATTTAAATTAAAATTCAAACCGGCATAACGTTCAGCATCGTGCTGTTGTGGCTGATATAATTTTCGCTTTTTGCATCCATTCACTTGTGAATGCTGTTGCGATGGAAGAATCGGACTGGATCGCATCGTATTTACAATGTTTTCGACACGAGCTCGTTTCATATCCAATGCAACTGGCTCAGTTTTTAGGCTCTGTGGAATCGGTGAGGAATTATTTTTGTCCAAATGCATTTCAATGTCCATATCGTCCTTTGATCCAATCAAATCGGAACCAGGCGAAGACGGCATCGAATTTTCGGAATCAGAACGTGAGTTCAAACAAATCATTTCATCGTCTATAATATTGTCATTGAGTGTTTTATTTAAGTCGCCAGATATACTGGTCTCTTGTCGACTTTCTGTTATGTCTTCACCATTGTCCACATGACGTGACACATCATCATTTATTTGATTCACTCTATTGTTAACATTCATTTCACTAGTATCATTCGCATCACTTCCACCATTTCCTAATGTTTCACCTGTAAAATTCACAATAACAAATTTATTTAATTTTTTTTTTTTTTTTTGAAATTCCATTTTTTCCATTCAGTCTAACTAATGCGTGCAACAAAATCTATATAACACAACATTTTTATTTTGTAGAAGGAAATAAAACAAAATTGATCACGAACATGTTCAATTTTAAAAATATCATAATTATACGATCATGTATGCACATCGATCAATATGGTATGTTCGATCTACAAAATTCGCTAAATACACAATCTGTTGCACACACTTAGACTTAATTGTTCATTTGCAAAATTCAACCATTTATTTTAATAAACTGAATTTCACTGAATTGTTTATAATAATTTTTTTTTAGTTTTCTATTTTATTTTTTTATTATTATTTGTATTTTTTCCTTTTGGTTTTACTCACTTTTTATATTCACTTCTTGTTTCACAATATTGTTGTTACTATTCGTGTTGTTATTTTTACTTATGCTATTATTGTTATCCGGCGATGCTCTTTCGATCGAATTATTCATGCTAGCAGCCGAGGCAGCAGCAGCCGCCCTGAGTTCATGATCATGTAATGCCATTAGTTCTTTTTTCCCTTGTAAAATATTTCGCAACATGTGAAGTTTTTCCAAGTCGTTTGGCTGTACCGTTGCATCATCCATATCGATACCACCACTGCTCGTTCGTCTTATAATTGGCGATGAATTTTCAAAACCGTGTTTGCTACCATCCGAATTAGAAGCACCTTCCATTGGTGAAAGCATCATATTTGTTTCGGGTCCACCAGCATCTTGAGCTTGTTTTACTTGCCGTGCTAATAATTCGTTTAACATTTTTGACGTCGATGTTCCGTAACCACTTGTATTAAATAAACCGAAGTTATGTTGTTGCTGATTTTGGCTATAAATAGCCCCATACAGACCGCCGCTCATGAGTGAAGGTCTTGAACTGAAATTCGGAATCGATGAATAACTATTTCTTGGTTCACCCGCGTCTACGCGCTGTCTGGCTCGTTTTGCTTTCTTTAGTAACTTATCTCCGTACAAACCGAAACTGTCTGCGTCCTCCTCTGATGACATCATAAGAATCACCAGACTTTGTTTGTGTTAAGCCCATTAAAGTGGGAGAATTTCGTGGTATTTTCTATACTGATTCCAAAGTACAAGACGATACGAAAAAGTATTTAATCGTTGTCGTTACATACGAATGTGCCTTCTCTACTGCTAACGAATGATTCCCCACTCTTAAGCAAATTCTATGATTCCCCTCCCATAGCATCGACCTAAATTGCATGACCAAAGGAAAAAATGAAACAAGAAAATTTAATAGAGACAATGCTTCAATACACACATACATTTATAGATATAAAAACTTAATGCAAGAATACATGCAAACATTCAAACACGATTGTTTCTCACATTCACACACATCAAATACATCACTGGCATTGCCTACGTATATGTATGTATACATCGTTTCGTTTTATTTTTATTCTTTTTTTATCCATAGCCAGTTGCAAAAGTACTTATATCGCTCACTTTCCTTTCATCGATTCACAAGCTGGAGAAGTGGCAACAAGAAATCGTACAAATAGAAGTTAACATCGTGCACGATCGTACCTACTCTCCTTCTCGTATTATTTTTCTCGCTCATCACATTCGTACCGATGCGTTTGGGAGTATATGTAAACACATATATTTTTTCTCGTGTCAGTACTTTTTCAGCATGTCACGCATAGAACAACAGCGTAAAACAGATCAACGTATTTTCTATATATTTTTTTTCTCGCTTCACTTTATAGAGAGGGTAAATGTTTCGTCTAAAATTGCAAGCTGATGAATATAGCTATAATGTTCTCGTTATGATCATGAGAAATTCAAATAAATGTTGACATTTATTTTCGTTTTTCCATTAAATAATTCACAATCTAAAATCATTTTTACATTGATCGATTGAAAATGCACAAATTTATATCGAAAATACCGATAAAATTCTGACATTTTAAACGGTTCATATGACCGTTATTTCAAAAATGAATAGTGAGAGAATAATGCTTGTAGAATACTATACCACCAAGTTCAAGAAATTTAAATGGTTATCTTGAGAAAACTGTAAGGAGGTCTGTATAAAACGGCTGCTTTCTTTGTTATATGCAACCATAATAGCAACAAAGTCAACTACACATATATTTAGTAAAACTTCAGTTCTTTTCGATCCATCTGTTCGCGCTCATACAGCTGTTCAATGTAGTAAACATTGAGAATGAGCGTATAAATTGAAAAAAATATCGAAGAAGTTTTTGGGTGCAATAGCACTCAATCTATATGTTCGAATAAAATGAGCATTTTTTCAGTTTTGAAATAAAATTATATGTTTATGAATGTGTTTTATGATAAATATCATGAAAGGGACACGCTGCGTGTGCGCTTATGTTGGCGATTGCTATATGAACAAATGATCCTTGAACTGTAATGTGAAATGTATATACATAAAAAGAAAACTGAAGATAATAGCATATTTGCTATATGGTTGAAAGGTATGCATACCACCATCTGACGAAGAAAACAATGTGGGCTATGGTTCTTTGAGTTTCTTCGTTGCATTTACTTTTACCTTTAACTTAGCAATAGTTTTTATTGTGGTAGAAGAAAATAATCAAAACGATATACACACGTAATGTCTCAAACGGAAATGTTCGATGATTTTGTGTATCGCGCATTCTACTTCCATTGTGTAGACCACTCAACCGGTAGCCATATGCATGTTATGGGTGGATGATTTCTTCTTTTCGGTAAGAAACGAAAAAAATATACGTTACAACCTAAGGAAGCGTGTAGTACACATTCATAATTTGTCATTAGTTCTGATCGTGGAACAGTATTTCACATGTCGCTGAAAGAATTTAAAGGGACGCAATGCTATCGTATATTAACATCTCCTGTAATTATGCGTATGAATTTCGACAGTTTCATATTTAACCAGGTGGAAATTTCTTGAGGAAATTCACTGAATTGGATCGAACGGATTATGGTAACGAAAATGTGATAGTGCACTTTGACTGAACAGCACCGGTTTTTATTGTTGAAAAACCGTTTTCATTTCTAAAAGAAAGCCCACTAATTTCTTCAGAATATCTTTCAAATGGTGTAAATATGGTCAACACAGTCAAGATAAATCTCGATATCAATAATAAATAAAAATCGATTGGCGGAAAATTACAGAAGTCATCTGCATACCATGCAATTGGTTCTGCTGAAATAAAAACGATTAGCTGCCATTATCGTGTGTGTATATAAATGGAAAATAATTCCAAATAGACACATTGTCTAAAAGGCCAAACTTAATGTCTTTTTTTTACAGTTCCGATTCCAATAAAAGTTTAATGATTCTTCATCTTATGGTAATACTTATATAATAAGCATTGTACGATAAATATTACTGATACCACTGGCGTCACCACAATAAATTATTGATGTGCGTTGTAATATGCATGCAATTTTGCTATACCATAACAACAAATCAAACGGCCACAAAATATGATTCGCCATCATTCTATATACACATTCTACTAATTTTGGCAGAAAATATAGAAAGTCTGACCAAAATTATTTTTTAGAATGCATACAGTGAATTTATCAGTCATTTTCAACTCAATGACATTTGACTTTTTCAGAAAAAAACAACAACAACAAATTAATTCAATGTTGATTTCAAAGCAATGTGCTCATCGATTTCTGCACAAAGTATATATGAGTACTTCAAATGAGAGTAAAATTCAAAGTAAACCAGCAACATCACAGTGCAAGTGAGCATCATAACATAGCTCCGTTGAATGTGTTTGCAGTGCATGAAATATAAGAAAGGAGGCGTTTTAACGCTTTTCACAAACTGTATACTATTTCTATTGACTAAGCGACTGAAATGACTGAAATCGCACAGAGACAACGACAGCTCTATTACTATATAGCTATAGCTTAACAAAGAACATCTGAAAAAAAACGAATGTGCGAATTATAAGAGTGAAAAAATCAACACAAATTTTAAATGTTTTCACACATACAAATAATATTGCTATTGTATTATAATCTTCAAGACAATTATTTTCTCAATTTGAGTTCATTGGAAAGAATAATCAGAAATTTATAGTTGAATTGATTCATAAAATGTTTTCAATATTGCAAAACTCAATGTAGAATTTTACTTATTGTAGGTGTAATTTGCTGCAAAAACGACCAACTTTTTAGGTCAATACGATAATTTATTATTTTGAGGCAGTATAAATTTACCGCTAATTTTTCCAAACGTTCTATCGATTTCAGGAAATCATATTTAAAAACAGAAAAATACAATTACGATGAGAACATCATATTTTTCTATGAAATTTAAATTTCTAGAGAGATTATGAGCACATAATGGCTTCTTAGAAAATGTTAACGCTATGAATTATTTTTAGGTATGTTTCCGTTTGGTCAGTGATTACACAATACTTGAACACTCGGCTAAGAATAAGAATACATTCAAATCAAATGTGTTTTGTTCAAATGATATGATGGTTTCCATGCAAATTCATATACAATTGGTTGTGCAATCAATGATAATACGATGATAGTTATTAAAAATAAATTAAAGAGAATTCGCTCAGATGACGTAATTGTTTCTTTCAATTTTAAATAAAAAAAGGTGAAAAATGTTTCTGTGAAATTTTGAATGAAATAATTAAATTTCGAACACTATGGTTCAAATATAATCAACTCGCAAGTATGGCTATAAACATATGTCACCTTCTCTTCATGTTTATGGCTTTATCGTATTTTTTGGTGGCGTTTTCTCTCCCTCTCCGTCTCGCTCTCATTTTCCTTTCCACATTTTATCTGTCCATCTCTTTTTCTTTCGTCTATCTTTATCTGATTTACATGCATAAATTCTAACAGCGAATGAATAGCCAAAGAGCAAAAATATTGTATTCACATATTTGTCCATTATTTCGAAGGTTGAATGGCAATTTTTCTCTATTTATATCCATAAGGCCTGTGCTTTATGGAAAAGCAATAATAATTTCATTTTTTTTTGTTCCTTGAATCACCTATCTTTTTGAAATGTCCACTCACTACATCAGTAATGTGCGAGCTACATTTAAGGGGGGGGGGTTGATTTTTCAAAAACAAAAAATTCTCTAGCGAATCAGACAAATTTTCGTTTTTTTTTTTGGAAGTCACTTTTTGAGGCGAAAATCCCTAGCAAATCGAAAGAATTTTCTCCGCGAAAAACCCTAGCAAATCGGAAAAAAATCTCTCGGAACCAAAAACCTTAGCAAATTGAAAGAATTCTCCTCAATTTTCTACATTGATGAGCTAAAAAAAAAAAAAAAAGGTCTTCACTTTTTTCGTGAAAAACCCTAGCAAATTCGAATAATTTTCACGAAAATTTTTTGTCCCATCCAAATCACAGGGGGGGGGTAACCCCCCCCCCTTCGCACATTACTGCACTACATATATGCATGTGTGGACATTCATTAGAATGTGACATACGGTCAAGTAATTACATTCGAACTGTAGAAGAGGCGGTAGTGTACACAAAACCGGCAACAGAAGGAAACAGAGAGACCAACAAATAATAAATACAAAAATATAAGACGAAGAATTATATTTATTGAACAAATTACACTAGCGGGCGCAGAGCGTACAATCAACAACAACACAAAAAAAAACTAACAGACAATGGAATAGTTAAGGGAACGGAACGAAATTGATTATTTCCTTTTGTTTTTCAATGTGAATATTGCCGCATACCTGTTCTTTTCATTTCTCTATTTTTTATTAAAAAAATTATAATGGCGCACAGAGTCAAAGTACGAGTCATTCTTTATATCGACGTCTTATTTCATCGGAAATTTATTAAGTATAATAACGGCCGGAGTGACATTTTTTTTTAAATCAGAGGTGATTTACATCAAATTGTTGTCTTATAATTTTCTGTATTAAAAAAACGTTATATTCCATTTGAAAACTAATTGCCGTCAATTACTTTTTGATTCTCCTAAATGAACAAACTTCTCAGAAATTATTAATAAACAATATTTCTATAAAATAGATCTGTTTGATATAAAGGAATTGATAAATCTACAAATGGTGTTCATTGAATACATACATATGCATGGTTTTCAATGTGAACGTTGAAATCAACACTTGAAATAAAATGACACCAACGCAAACATCCTTGATCATTCGAAAATGATTAAATAAACACAATTTTAATAAACGTAAAAACTATTACAACCACATA